AGTTAGAGTGGAATATTTTATTTTTTATCTATACACATGATACAATTTGTTAGAATTGATTAATTAAAAACTGTATTTTTTGTATAAATAAATCAACAATTAATATGATATCTTTTGGAGTATTTAGTTCTTATCAACAATTTTATTCAGATAATAATAGCTTGAAATTTGCATCAGTATGCACTTTTAAACGAATTTGTTCGTTCGCAATTATGTTCCATTACAAATTTTTAATTACAGAAACTATGTACAATAAAAATAAAAAATTTTGAAGAAATAGATCATCAAATTCAAAACAATATTTGTGTGTTATTTCTGTTATCTCTCATGTTCTCTAAAGTGTATTTAAGAGTATATTGAATTAATAAAATGTACCATAAATATATTTAACATTTTTTGGAAGCTATAATATTTGTACTTGGCTTTAAATTATATTATTAATTGTATTATATTCCATTTAATAAATAGGTTTGATATTTATAATTATATGCATTCCCAGAGTTTCAACTTATCATGAACTGTCTTCAAGGGATCTCCGTAAATATAGATGAAATAGTAAAGAACCAATGTGAAATGAAAGACTTACTTGAAGCATCTGGAGTGATTAAAGATGGCATTGGCGCAAATGATCAATTATTCACTGAGAAATATAATATCTGTTTTCCAATGCGTATCAAACAAGATCTAAATGCATTACAAGAAATGTTAAAAACTAACGACATTTGCCGTCGCGATTTTGTAAGTTTTTCGTTGTTTTTAATTTTATTTCTTTTTCTATATGTTTTTCTATATATAACAAAACAATATATATATTGTTTAATTTCAACGTTTAGAAGGCTTCCTTATATTTCTTGGTCGATCGGCAATTGAATATTAACAAAAGTGTTACAAATATCATTAAAAAATTAATGACAAGGGAGCTTGCATTAATATGCACAGCACAAAAGAAAATTGATACTAAAATTGTTTTAAAAGAAACTCCGATCTGTAACTGCATTATTGGTAAGAAAATATAACTTCTATATACTGTTGATAATAATTATAAGTTAATTTAGAGATAATCAGTTTTATACATAGTAATTGCATGATGTGTTATATATTGTCTAAGCGTTATAGTAAACATTAACGAAAAGCATGGAAAGTGTATCACCCAAAAAGAAATATATTCAGCTATAGGCATCACTTTAACAAACGCTAAGGACTGGGATGGTCATCGGTCCCATCGATCAAAGAAAGCCACAAATGGTCAGATCAATTCTTAAATAATTAATTCTATTAAATATTTACATATATATTATGAAATATAACTCGTTTGTAACTCCTTTGTAACATTATATAAAGTAAAGTGCAATGTAGTCAAACGTTACACTTTATATACGTGCGCAACTAAGTTCTCGCTGTTTGTCAATAGATGGCTCCAGCAATAAGTGCTGGTCGATTTTTACATATTCAAAACGTCATGAACCAAGCTCAGACATATGGTAAACAAACCGTTTTGACACATTAGTGATTTTGTTTTGGCGTCATATACTTTTGGTTGTGTGAAAATGTCTGATTTTGTGCCAAATAATCGTCATTTGCGGGAAGTGTTGATTTTCTTCTTTCATTCGAAGAAAACGGCGACTGAAGCGCATCGAGAGCTCCAAAAAGTTTATGGAGATGCTGCTCTAAGTGAAACAACGTTGCCGTGATTGGTTCCGTCGCTTCAAAGACGATGATTTCGATGTTGACGACCGTCTGCGTGAAGGAAGGCCAAAATCCTTCGAAGACGCTGAATTGGAGGCATTCCTCGATGAGGAT